GGCTTCTTGGGGCGTCTTGGGGGCGTCCTTGGACGTCTGGGGTCTCCTGGGCCTCTTGAGGGGCCTCCTGGGGGCCTCCTGGCGGCCTCTTGGGGCGGAAGGCTCGAGCTTGCGGTTCGTGGTCCCCCTCTGGGCCCCCTCTTGGGCCCGTCATGGGGCCCTCTTGGGCCATCTTGGGCGCCTCTTGGGCCGTCTTGGGGCCCTCTTGGGCTGTCCTGGGCCCTCTGGGAAGCTTCTTGGGCCGTCTTGGGGCGGTCTTGGGCGCCTCTTGGGCCGTCCTGTAACGTCGGAAAGCCCAAAAGACAACTTTGTTGAAAATGTACGTTTTACAGAGGGAATGGGCCAATTTTTGCGTCTAGGGGCCCTCTTGGGACGCATGTTGGAGGCTTCTTGGGGCCTCTTGGGGGCGTCCTTGGACGTCTGGAGGCCATCTTCAGCATCTCGGCGCCCTCTTGGAGGCCTCTTGGAAGTTTCTTGGGCCGTCTTGGGCGCTTCTTGGGCCGTCTTGTCTGACTGGGGAGGCCTCCGGCAAGCCCCGACGAGCCTCCGGGCCCCCCGGGGCGCACATTTGTGGTCGAGGTCCCGGCCCCGGGCCCCCGGACCCGGTGCGCCGTTATATGTATATTGCGCCCGCTCTCCCTGGGACACGACCCTAGTAAACTACGCTGCGTCCGCGCTCCCAAGGAGGGGCTCCCTCGTGAATTACGCTGCGTCCGCGCTCCCAGGGCCACGTTCCCCAATGAATTACGCTGCGTCCGCGCTCCCAGGGCCAAAATCCATCGTAAATTACGCGGCGTCCGCACTTCCAGGGCCACGATCCCTTGTAATTTACGCTTCGCCCGCTCTCCCTGGGCAACGATCCCTTGTACACTACGCTGCGTCCGCGCTCCCAAGGCCATGCTCCCTGGTAAACTACGCTGCGTGCGCGCTCCCAGGGCCACGTTCCCCAATGAATTACGCTGCGTCCGCGCTCCCAGTGCCACGTGCCTTAGTACATTACACTGCGTTCTGGCTCCTAAAACCACATGGGCATCCCGGGACGCCCAGGCCGCTCGAGTTCTGCAAAACAAGCGTTTCGCTCGAGATATCCTCGGAATTCCCGCGCGCGGGACGCGCCGTCCTCGAGCGGGCACGCAAAAGGTCAACTTTCCCATACTTCTTGAAAAATCGTCGGGTCTCCATGCCTCGTGTTATAGTATTGCTTCTGCACACAACGCTTGCCGCTTTTTGCATCGGCGAACGTGTGTCTGCGGACCCCGTTTTTGATCGAGCGGGAACTCGCCGGCCCACTTCAAGTCATGCCCCAGGGAGAATTAACAAACTAAAAGAGAACCCTGGCACGGCGCCCTTCCCAGGAAATAATGTTAAAAAAAGTGTTCAAGAAATCCAGATAGCACGAAAAATCGTCACCAGACTGATGTTTTACTATTCTTGAATATTCCTCCTGTAGAGGGGCATGCCCGACGTGATGTTGGTGGCTTGAATCCGCCGATCCAGCGTGTGAGTTTCTGAGAGCGTGGACTTGAGCTCGCTCAAGCTTCGCTCTGCAAGGGGGGGGGGGGGAGCGCCATTCCCGACGCGTTTAGTGCTCGGGGGCGGGGGGCCCATGGGCCCCCAAGAAGCCCCCAGGAGGCTCGGGAAGGGGGGGGGGAGAGGGGACGCCATTCCCGACGCATTTAGTGCTCGGGGGGGCGGGGGGCCCACAGGCCCCCAAGAAGCCCCCCAGGAGGCCCCCTCCCAGAAAGGCCCCCCAAAAGGCCCCAGAATAGCAGCCAAAACGACCCCAAGAGGCTTCCGCAGGAGTCCCTTGCTCAGTCCCCGCCACCTCAGGTCCTCAAGCCTGAAAAGATTCATTAAGTGCCCGTACCCCGGCTCTCGAATCTCTTGAAGGCTCCCTCGCGCGCCCTCTGGGGCCTCCAAGAATGTTCCCATGATTTGTTCGAGCCCAAGAGAGACCCAAGACGGGCCGAACAGGGCCCCAAGGAGGCCCTCAAGACGGCCCAAGGAAGCCCCGGAATCACCAACGAACGTCCAAAGAAACGCCCAAGGATGGCCTCAATGACCATTACCTATGCTCATGATCATGATAATGATCATCATCATCATCATCATCATCATCATCATCATCACATCATCATCATCATCATCATCATCACATCAATCATAATCATCCATCATCATCATCATCCATCATCATCATCATCCATCACATCTACTCAACTTCATCATCGATCATCTTCATCACAGCGCAAGCAGCAGCATCAGCATCAGCTCACATCTCCACTCCTCCTCCTCCTCCTCCTCTTCTCTTCCACATTCCTCATACCTCATCCTCATCCTCATCCTCATTGCCTCAGCATCAACATCATCAGCATCAAAAATAGCATCAGCATCAGCATCAGCATCACATCATCACCATCATACATCATCAACAGCAGCATCAGCATCAGCATCAGCATCACATCAGCATCAGCATCAGCACAGCATCATCACCATCACCATCCTCATCCTCATCCTCATCCTCTCCTCATCCTCATCCTCATCCTCATCCTCATCCTCATCAGACATCAGCATCAGCAGCAGCATCAGCATCAGGCATCAGCATCAGCATCAGTCACCATCACCATCACCATCATCATCATCAATCATCATCATCATGCATCATCATCATCATCATCATCATCATCATCATCATCATCATCATCATCATCATCATCATCATCATCATCATCATCATCATCATCATCATCCAGAGCGCCCTGGATCGGCGGCACTGGCCGGAGGCCAGCACAACATTCCTCCTGTAGAGGGACATGCCCGACGTGATGCTTGTGGCAACCACTCGGCCAGCCAGCAGGAGGAGCCCAGAATCGAATCGATAAGTCGGATCGACGATCGAATTGGATCAGATCGGCGGAAATCCGCCGCCCCGAGAGGCCCCCAGGAGCCTCCCAACAAGCCCACAAGAGGCTCACAAGAGGCCCCCAAATTACCCCGCAGATGCACCCGAGAGCGCTCCGAAGAGACCCCAAGAAGCATCCCTGAGGACTCTGACCCACGTCAGAATCGTCGTCGTCGTTCAGGGTCGGCGGCACCGGCCGTAAGGCCTCTCCAATCGGCAGCCAACTCGAGAGAAGACGAAGCGGCCGAAATCGGCAGGCGAATAAAGCCGTTGTGATTACACCGAGGCCAAAGTCGGAATCAGAAATCGAATCGGAATGGGAATCGATCGAGACCGAATCGAACCGACCCGGAGGAGTCGAAGAGAGCACCGACCGGGGAAGCCCGAACACCACCACCGCCATCGACATCGGGCTCGTCTTCCCTCGGTGGAGGCAGCCGCCGATACTCCTGGTGCCTAGGTTCGCGCGGCTTCGGCGCGCGCACAGGTTTCGACACCGCGTCGATCGCGGCCCCGATCGTTCAAGGCTGAATTCCGTCGGGTCCCGTGGCAGTACTGTGCCCCTCAGTGCCTCCGCGTCGTTCTATCATGCGGAGTTCAGCCTTGCACGCCTTCGCCGGCATCGCTGGCGCGCCATCGCCGCATGAACCTACCGTGCCTGTATGCGAGACGATGATTTATCCATATCCACCGCCTGGGAACCGACGTCCTGGTGCCCCAACAGGGGGGCACTGCCGAGGCTCCGAAAACTGACCCTCCAGGCGGTGGTCATGTAGAAATTCCCGCCTCGGACTGTAGGCCTCCGATAGCTCTCGAAACCAAGAAGCGCCACCGCCCGCACTGGCTGCCTCGCTGTCGCCGCCGAAGGTGCCGCCCTCTCCGCCGTACACGAAGACCTCTATGTACCGGGTCTCCATGTGCTGGCCACGCGGGGTGCGGAAATCTGCTCACTGGGGCGATCGACGTTTCAACTGCACAGCCAAGGTGCGCGATAAGAGCGGAGCTCCAGGATGCAAGCCCCTTGGAGGGTGCCGCTCCTGAAGGGCGCACTTGGGCCCGCAAGGGCGCCCTTGGGCAGGGGAAACCGCGAGCTCAAAGAGAATGACCAGAGCCGAAACATGATCAACCCACGAACCCGGAAAGGAATATAGAATGTAAGGCAAGGCAACGTTTCAACGACACCTGATTGGGCGACGGGCAAGTGCAATGCTGAATGTATCGATCTTAATGTACTGTGCCGAGGGCTGTGCTGTGCTGGGCCGTGCTCAACTGCGATGTGCCATGCCGCGATTGTGCTTTATGTAGCGTTGTGGATCGAGTCATCCCTGGCATCCGAGTCCCGGCCGAACTGATCTGGATCTTAAGCTCGAGCTGCCTGAGCAGATGGTAGCTGCCCCAGAACTGATCGACAGAGGAGACATGCCAGGAGGACGCGCCGCGGAACGTCCCAAGGGACGCGCCAGGCGACTTGTCAGGGGACGTGCCAGGGGGACGCACCGCGGGACGTGCCAAAGGGACGCGCTACGGAACGTGCCAATGGACGTGCCGCGGGACGTGCCAGGGGACGCACCGCGCGACGTGCCAGGTGGACTCGTCACGGGACGCGCCAAGGAACGTGCCAAGGTGCAATATTGAGTGTATCGATCTTGATGTACCGTGCCGACGGCTGTGCTGTGCTACGCCGTGCTGAACTGCGATGTGCCATGCCGCGATTGTGCTCTATATATAGCGTTGTGGATCGAGTCCTCCCTGGCATCCGAGTCCTGGCCGAACTGATCTGGATCTTAAGCTCGAGCTGCCTGAGCAAATGGTAGCTGTCCCAAAACTGATCGGCAGGGGGACATGCCAGGAGGACGCGCCGCGGAACGTCCCAAGGGACGCGCCAGGCGACGTGCCAGGGGACGTGCCATGGGCACGCACCGCGGGACGTGCCAAGGGGGCGGGGCTACGGAACGTGCCAATGTGCACCGCGCGACGTGCCAGGGGGACTCGCCACGGGACGCTTCGCGGAACGTGCCAGGCAACATGCCAGGCTGCAATGCTAAGGGTATCGATATTGATGTACTGGGCCGAAGGCTGTGCTGTGCCTGGGCGACCTGGACACGTGAAAACACGCATTTTGCTCAAGACGTTCTCAGCACATTCTCATGCTAGACATCCGCCTGGACACGTGCAAACAAGCGTCTCGATCGAGACTTCCTCGACACATCCTCATGCTAGGCATCCGCCTGGGCGACCTGGACAGGTGAAAACAAGCCCCTGGTTCGAGACATCTTCAACAAATCCTCATGCTAGACATCTGTCTGGGCAACCTGGAGGCGTGAAACCAAGCGTCTTGCTCGAGACATCCTCAAGACCTGGGCACGTGACAAAAAGCATTCCACTTGAGACATCCTCTGCATTCAGGTCCCCAGCAGAGGACAATCTATAACACAAAACAAGCGTTTCGCTCGAAACATCCTCAAGAAATTATGAAAAACAAGCGTTTCGCTAGGGACATCCTGAAATTTTCATTCGCCGGCCCTCTTCCCACTCGTTATTAATCGCAAAAGAAATCCGCGGGCCCTCTTCCCGTCAGACCCGGGGGGAAACCTCTAAAAGAGAACCCTGGGCCTGAAGCCCTTTCTGGGAAATGCAGGGGTGCCCTTCGTCGTCGTCGTCGTCGTCGTCGTCGTCGTCGTGGTACGTAGTCGTGGTCGTCGTGGTCGTCTTCGGTCGTCGGTCGTCGGTCGTCGGTCGTCGTCGTCTCGTCGTGGTGGTCGTCGTCGTCATCGTGGTCGTCGTCGGGCGTCGGGCGTCGGGCGTCGGGCGTCGGGCGTCGGGAGTCGGGCGTCGGTCGTCGGTCGTCCGTCGTCGGTCGTCCGTCGTCCGTCGTCGTCGTCGTCGTCGTCGTCGTCGTCGTCGTCGTCGTCGTCGTCGGTCGTTTCGACCGCCCCACGCCAGACCTCCTCGAGGGGGAGCCGAGAAGGGGCATGCCCGAGAGACCGGCCTCCCGAGGCCGAGGCCTGCGCGCCCGCGCCCTGCCCAGCAGTGGCGCCCGACGGGGGGGGCAGCAGCAAGACTATGGACCGAGCGTCATCGTCGACTTTTGAATCCCCTCCACCGCCTTCTCCACCTCCTCCTCCTCCTCCTCGTCCTCCTCTTCCTCCTCCTCCTCCTCCTCCTCCTCCTCCTCCTCCTCCTCTTCCTCCTCCCTCCTCCTCCTCCTCTCCTCCTCCTCCTCCTCCTCCTCCTCCTCCTCGTCCCCCTTCCCCTCCCCTCCCCCTCCCCCCTCCTCTCCTCCTCCTCCCTCCTCCTCTCTCCTCCTCCTCCTCCTCCTCTCCTCTCCTCCCCACAATTACTCAATATGAATACTACTCTCCTCCTTCCCCTGATGACGGGTTGGGAAGTGTTCGCCCCCCCCCCCGCGTACTGTTTCTACAACACAGGATTCCCGGGAGTTGGGTTTTCGCCTGCATTTGTTTTCAAAATGCTGCTCTCGCTGAGGCGCCGGCCTCATTTTCGGGCCCCGTTCGTTCCGAATCGTGCTCCCGCTGCAGCGCTGGCCTCATTTCCATGCTTCCGCTCGTTCCGAATCGTGCTGCCGCTGCAGCGCTGGCCTCATTTCCGCGCTTCCGCTTGTTCCGACTCGTGCTCCCGCTGCAGCGCTGGCGTCATTTCCCGTGCCATGCCACGGCATGCAATGCAATGTTAGGTTGCGTTCCGCTGCGCGATGCCATGCCTTCAACTGAAGCTGTGATAAGCAGTGCTTAAGTGCCACGTCGTGCTATGCCATGCTACGATTTGATCTTCAACGCCATGCTATGCAATGTTATGTTCGGGGCCGCTGTGCGATGCCATGCTTTGCGTTGCAAAGCTTTGCGATGCAATTCTTCACTACGCCACGCCACGCCATGCTGTGACATACTACGCTTTGCGGTGCTCTTCTACGCCATGCCATGCCGTGCTCTACACTGCATCGCGTACCCTTTCGGGATCATTGCCCTGCTCGACATCCAACTGTGCGAGTAGAGAGGGGATCTACGACATGGTAAGGGATGGGAGGGAGGGGTAGGATGTCAGATATGACGCGAGCGCACCTAGTTTGTCCTCCTCCCCCTCCCTTCCTCCTCCTCCTCCTCCTCCTCCTCCTCCCCCTCCTCCTCCTCCTCAACTCCTCCTCCTCCTCCCTCCTCCTCTCGCCTCCTCCCTCCTCCTCCTCCCCTCCTCCTCCTCCTCCTCCTCCTCCTCCTCCTCCTCCTCCTCCTCCTCCACCTCTCCTCCTCCTCCTCCTCCTCCTCCTCCTCCCCCCTCCCCCTCCCCTCCCCTCCCCCTCCCCCATCCCCTCCTCCCTCCTCCTCCTCCTCCTCCTCCTCCTCCTCCTCCTCCTCCTCCTCCTCCTCCTCCTCTCCTCCTCCTCCCCTCCTCCTCCTCCTCCTCCTCCTCCTCCTCCTCCTCCTCCTCCTCTCCTCCTCCTCCTCCTCTCCGCCTCCTCCTCCTCCTCCTCCTCCTCCTCCTCCTCCTCCTCCTCCTCCTCCTCCTCCTCCTCCTCCTCCTCCTCCTCCCTCCTCCTCCTCCTCCTCCCTCCTCCTCTCCTCCTCCTCCTCATCCTCCTCCTCCTCCCCTCCCTCCCCTCCCCCTCCCCCTCCCCTCCCCCTCCCCCCCTCCCCCTCCCCCTCCCCTCCCCCCTCCCCGTCCTCCTCCTCCCTCCTCCTCCTCCTCCTCCTCCTCCTCCTCCTCCTCCTCCTCCTCCTCCTCCTCCGGCCGCCGCCGCCGCCGCCGCCGCCCGCCGCCGCCGCCGCCGCCGCCGCCGCCGCCGCCGCCGCCGCCGCCGCCGCCGCCGCCCCCTCGTCTTTGCATTGCGTCGGGGGGGGGACTCCTGGCCCTGCAGGCGCTCTTTCGCGAGCTCGGCGTCCTGGCGGCTCCGCATCTGCACCACGGCCTGGCGGGGTGCGCGGGCAAGCGGCGCCCGTGGAGGAGGGGGAGCCTCCTCGGCTGCCGGGCACGGGAAGGGCCGCCCCCAGGCCGCTCCCGCGGCGGCGTGTCTGGCAGGTAGGCTCTGGTGCCACGCAGGCGCGGCCCTCCCTCCACCCCAGAAACACAGGGGGGAGGTGTGCCCTCCATCTCCTCCTCCTCCTCCTCCCACCTCCTCCTCCTCCTCCTCCTCCTCCTCCTCCTCCTCCTCCTCCTCCTCCTCCCCCTGCTCCTCCTCCTCCTCCTCCTCTCCTCCTCTCCTCCTCCTCCTCCTCCTCCGTCCTCCTTCTCCTCGTCCCCCTCCTCCTCCACTCCTCCTCCTCCTCCTCCCTCCCCCTCTCCTCCTCCTCCTCCTCCTCCGCCTACCCTCCTTTCCTCCCCTCCTCCTCCTCCTCCTCCTCCTCCTCCTGCATATTCTCGTCCTCCTTCCTCTCCCCCTCCTCCTCTGCTCTTTCTCGTTGTCAATAGCTCCTCCCTGTCGCACCCCGAGTCCTTCTCCGCGGCCACTCTGGCGGAAAGGCGGGCCCATCGCGGCCGCCGTCTGGTTTCCCGCTTCGGGGTGGGGGAACGCCATGGCGCCTGGGGGTTCTCCCACCCACATAAGCATCCGCAATGATGTTTGCTTTTACCGCAGGTTCGTTGCGTGGGATGGCTGAGCGGGCGAAATACAAATTTCAACACGTGTTTGTGATCGGGCATTCGGGTGTACCTTGGAATTCGGGTCGTGTGGGTAGCATCTCAAGTGTGCTCTGCCACGTCTACATCTGTTCCTGAGGTGTCTTGCTTGGTGGGACCTTTCCTGGGGTCCTTCAGCAAGCTCCGTCCCAGGCGGTGGGTTGGGTAGGTGGCACGCAGGCCGCATTGGCCAACTAAGCCCATCTCCCTGTCGCTTGGGCGTACGTTATTGCTTGTATGCTTCAATTTGAAATATTACGTCCGTACACCTCGCCTTCTCATTCCATCACTTTGTTATATACCTCCATCCTGTTTCATCGCGTTCTGGGAGTCAACCTTCCATGTAACAACGAGCCGTGGAACATGAGGTTACTCATTTTATCAAACAAAATAATGGCCTTATCTAACTCGCCGGCTTAACGGGTTAGAGGCGTGCTAAGATCTCTGATTACAAGTTTGGAACACTTGTATGAAAGCGCGCGCGGGGTCGCCCGAGGGGCGGACGAAAAATACCATTGCAAGGTCCCCTCACGGATGCCGGGGCTCCCAGGAGCGGTCTTCTGGACCCCCAAGAGCGTTCCAGGAGCGCCCCGAGGGAACCAAACGGAGCTCCAAAAGGGCACTTCAGTCGAGATCCATAGGAAGCAGGCCCAAAAATGGACCCATGAGGGCCCCAAGAGGCATCAAGATACCGCCCAACTGACCCAAGACAGCCGCAAGAGCGGCCCCAGACGCCGAAATTCCTAGATGTCCCTTGGATGCTTGAAGCTTTTTCCGTCTGCGCCTTTTCAGTAATCCGACGGGACCATCTTGGGGGGAGGAGGAGGAGGAGGAGGAGGAGGAGGAGGAGGAGGAGGAGAGAAAGGAGAAGGGAGGGAAGGAGGAAAGGAGGAGGAGGAGGATAAGAGAGGAAGAGGGTGACAGAGAGAAGGAGGAAAAGGGAAATTAAGAAGGGGGAGGAGGAGGAGGAGGAGGAGGAGGAGGAGGAGGAGGAGGAGGAGAAGGAGGAGAAGGAGGAGGAGGAGGAGGAGAATAGGGAGAGGAAGAGGGTGACAGAGAGAAGGAGGAAAAGAGGGATGAGAAGGGGGAGGAGGAGGAGGAGGAGGAGGAGGAGGAGGAGGAGGAGGAGGAGGACCAGTGTAAACCCAAGGGTCATCAAAAAGGTTGGAATGCTCAAGATGGCCCCAGAGGCCCGAGAGACTCCTACGGTCGCCCCAGGTCGGCCCAAGAGGCTCGCTGGACGGCCCCGGCGCAGCCGAGCAAGGCCTCGGGACGGCCCAGGAGGCCTCCCAAGAGGGTTCCAGAGGCCTCCCAAATGGGCCGCCACATGGGCGCTGCGAAGCCCTGCGAATTATGGGAAACACAATTTCCTTTTCAAAAACCGCACTCAATGGGCTGGGCTTGCGTTTCCCATCATCTGTAATCATGGACAACGCAAGCCCGGGCGACTGTGGAACCACCGGGGCCCTGATGTGGGGCCGCTGTGGTGACTCCGGGGCCGCAGAGACGGTGCAGTCAACCCGCAGAAGAAGGGTGCGCGGTGAGGATGCAAGGGCCTTGGAGGGCCGTGGTCACGCTTTTTGAGCGAGGTCGGCCAGCGAAAGTTACCTAGGATGGGCCCAAGGGACAAGGATGCGAGGGTAGCCCTGGAAAGTCGCTCGTCCTTACTTTGCGGGTTGACTGTATGGCCCTGCTGGGCATGGGCGGAGAGAGCAACTCCGCCACCTGGAGGGAGGCAGAGGGACGGCCGTGGCGTGTGGGCCGTGGGCCTCGTGCTGGGCCCCTGGGATGGTGACGGGGGGGCGCGTCGCGGGTGCTCACCCGCTTGAGCAGAGCTGGCCACGGCGGCAGGTGAGCGACGAAAAGAAACAGGTCTTACGCGAGACGATACAGCGACCGTGCGCGGTGGCTTACGCTTGCGCGGGCAGCCAGCGCGGCACGCTGCAGTGGAAGCGGTGGGCGCTCATGTGCGACCTTACGCGAGCAACTCACGTGCCAGTGCCAGTGAAGACGACCCCGTTTGGGGCGTCGCTCGGGTGGGGCCCGAAACTGCACCGAGGGAGCCCGGTCACCACCACCTAGCGACCCCGCAATGCCCGTGAGTGTGGGGGCCACTGGGGGAGGGGACTTTTGCGCGTTCTCGCCTTTTCCGCTCCCCGCCGCTCCAAGACGGCCCAAGAGGCCCCCAAGATCGTTCCAAGACGGCCCAAAAGGCCTCTAACAGGGCACCAAGACAGCGCAAGAGGACCCCAAGACACCCCACAACGCCTCCAAAACGGCCCAAGAGGCCCCGCGGTGCCCGCGAGGGAAGGGGCCACCGGGGGGGCGGGAGGGGGGGGGAGCTTTCCTGGGAGAGTGCCCGATGGCCTGAGCTGGGCTCGAGCGGTCGCGGCGCGGATGGGGCGGGGGGTCGGGGGGTCGGCGCTTCCACAAGGGCCTCTCGGGGGCGGTCCTCAGCTCGGGGGGTTGTCGGGATGGCTTGAGCGGTCGCCCCAGAGATTCAACGCATTGAAAAAACAAGACGGAGGTTTTTCACAGCTTTCGGCCTCTAGGGGTCCTCGCCAAGCCCTGGGACCGTCAAAAACGACTCAAGATGAAAAACCGGACTCCGTGCTGAACAAAATCACTACATCGCATCTCTGGGGCGGCGCCGATGGGACCGGCAGACGTAACGCTGGGCCCTTATGGTCACGGGAGTCTGGTGTTAGGTCGGACATGTCCCCCTACAGGCGGATTTTGGATGAAAAAATGCAAATAGGCGGGGGGGGCACGCGAGTGCCCCGACAGGCCGGCGACAGACCATAACGAAGGAGCGGTCCCGATGTTTTCTGCATCCTGAAGCCGTCTCGGGGGCCCCGTGGTCGTCGGTCGTCGGTGGTGGTGGTGGTGGTCGTCGTCGTCGTCGGTCGTCGTCGTCGTCAAAGTCGTCGTCGTCGTCGTCGTCGTCGTCGTCGTCGTCGTCGTCGTCGTCGTCGTCGTCGTCGTCGTCGTCGTCGTCGTCGTCGTCGTCGTCGTCGTCGTCGTCGTGATCGTCGTCGTCGTCGTCGTCGTCGTCGTCGTCGTCGTCGTCGTCGTCGTTATCGTCGTCTTGGTCGTCGTCGTGGTCGTCGTGGTCGTCGTGGTCGTCGTGGTCGTCGTGGTCGTGGTCGTGGTCGTGGCCGGTTTGCTTGCTGCTGCGCCTCCCTCAGCAAGGCAACTCGCCTGGCGGCTGCTTTGGGATGGGCTGGTTGGGATACGCGAAGCGTGAAGAGCGGGGGGGGGCACGGGGGAGAAAGCACGGAGGCCAGGGAACAGTGGGGGGAGCACGCGGGGTAGATGGGCGCAAGGGAGGAGCTGGGGGAAGGCGCGCGGTCGGAATAAGGCGAGGGGGGCTCGGGGAAGGCGGGGGGTGCACGAGGGGGCCTGCGCGGAAGCTCGGAGAGGGTGGGGGAAACACGGGGGCCAGGGGAGGGGGGCGCAGGGAAGGAGCGGGGAGAGGGCGCACGATCGGAACAAGGAGAGGGGGGGCCGGGGAAGGCGGGTGGAGCACGAGGGGAAGGCGCGGAAGCCCGGAGAGGGTGGGGGCGCGCAGGGAAGCACGGAGGCAAGGGGAGGGGGGCGCAGGGGAGGAGCGGGGGGAGGGGTCCGGGGAAGGCGGGGGGGGGACCGGAGGGGAGGAGCGGGGGGAGGGCGCACGGTCGGATTAACGCCAGGGGCTGTGGCCCTGTGTGGACCTGTGGCGTTGGCGAATCCTGCCGCCAGGCCGTGACACCGCTGCGGTGAAGGGATGGTGGTCGGTCGAGCGGGGGCGGGGGGGTCGTCGGATCCGCCTCCGTCGTCGGCATTTTGTAGGGGGGTTGTCGAAGGAGTCTCCAAAACCGAAGGGATCCTCTTCCTCGCCCCCGACGTGGCCTCCGAGGGGCTCGTCGGAAGGATCGACGTGGTCGGGAATCATTTCCCCCCTCGAGGCCGACCTGGTTCACTGGCGGCGGCGGTGGCAGTGGCGGGCCTTCCAGTGGGCCCATGGCCCACAGCCCCCTCTGGTGCGTGTGGGGAGGAGGAAAGTAAACACCCCCTGACTAAGCACCCCGACAAGCGAAGCCGTTTAGTAAACGCACCCACGGAAGAAATCGAGCAGGACAGTGCTGTTTAGTAAAGGCCCAGGGCCGCTCAGCAAACGTTCTTGGGGGTCGGGGTGGTGTTTCCTCCCTTGAATGAGGGTGCGGTGCCGGCTGTCGTAGACGGCCGACGGCCACGGCCGTGGCGGCCGTGGCGTGCAGGGTCACACCCGGCATGTGGCGGCACTCGGCGCGCGAGCGACGGCCTCTCGAGCAAGCGCGGGCTTGCGCACGGCCTGCGTGGCCAGCTCGTCAGCCTTACAGCTGGAGCATTCGGCAGTGACAAAGATGAGCCCCTGCTGTACACTAAGACGGCGCCAGGACGAGGATTGAATCGGGTGAGCATGCATCGAGAATCTTTTAGATCCGGCGGCTCTGGACGATGTCTCGGCCGCCGCGGCCTTCCCAGAGCGTTCCGGAACGCTCTGAGAGCGTCCCAAAACGCTCCAGAATGGATTTCTCCTCGTCCTAGCCCCGCCCGGTGCACCTTCGTCTCCGAGCACGGACGGAAGCACGGAAGCACGCCCGCACATGGGCACCGTCTAGAGTGCTGCGGGTGCGGCGTCGGAGCGCCAGAGCGCCAGAAAGCGAGGCCTGATCAGATATCCTGCTCAATGTTCCCTCGTGGTATCTTCCAGTGGTTCTGTTGCCCGTGAAGCTGGAGATCATGCCCTTGAGGCTGGAAGTCGAAAGCTGGCGCTTGCCGGCAACCGTTTCGGCCCGGGAGGGGTCCGGCATCGTCCGTGGCGCTTGCCGTGCAGGCTCCGTCCGTGGCATCGTGCACCCAGCGGGCCTGAGCAAGTGGATCCTCGCGTTCCTGGAACGGGAAGTCCTCGGGCCCTTCGGGGGAGGGTCGCGGGATGGGCTGAGGCAGGCGCTTCTGGGCATTCTCGACCTGTTGGTCCAGGAGGTGAGGACCCTCCTCGAGGATGCCGCAATGGCTCATGTGGGATGGGACTGCTCTACATTGTCGTCCGTGACCAAGTTTGTCGGCAAACAGAGATAACGGAAGAGTAGACACAAGGAAGACTTGGAGGGATAGGGAGAACATGACTGGGGGAGCCTGGCCCAGAGGCTAAGAAACGTCGGCATGCTCCACACGTCTCCCAAAGCGCACATAATCACAATGGTAGGACATACCTCCACAACGGAGGTCGAACCTCACTCTCTCTCTCTCTATCATCCTCTCTCTCTCTCTCTCCCTCCCCCCCTCTCTCTCCGTGCGCCTGGCCAGAAGGCCTGCCGTTCGCCTTCGTGAGCCTTCACCACACTCCGCGAGAAAATCAAATGAGCTGTGAATGACGGAAGCTCAGAGTTCTCCCTGCACCCTTCTCCTCAAGCCTGTCAGCGAACAAAAATCTACCAATCGGAGGTTGGGGGGGAGAGACCGAATTGGAACGGAGAGCACCCCACCGGGAAATCGGTTTCGGTTTTGGGTTCGTGTCGTGCGTGCGGACGAGGCGAAGCTGCGTGGGCGGGCGAAAGGAATGACTCCGCTGTGGCTAGGGCGGGTCAGAGCCGTTGACCCGTCATCCCCTCCCCCGGTGGTCTGGCGGTGGCCCCGGTGTCCCGCCGTGTCTGGTGTCCCGTCGCTGTCCTGTCGATGTCCTGTCGCGGTGGGCGGGCGGTGGCCGGGTTGTCCCGCCGTGGTGTCCCGTCGGTGTTCCAATAGTGTCCCGTCGGTGTCCCGTCGGTGTCCCGTCGGTGTTCAGTGGACGTCCCGTCGGCGTCCCGTCGGTGTCCTGTCGCGGTGGGCGGGCGGTGGCCGGGTTGTCCCGCCGTGGTGTCCCGTCGGTGTTCCAATAGTGTCCCGTCGGTGTCCCGTCGGTGTTCAGTGGACGTCCCTTCGGTGTCCCGTCGGTGTCCCGTGGTGAGATCGATAGTGAGATCGGTACTGAGGTCGAACAGGAGATCGATTGGTGTCGCGATGATGTCCTGTGGTGTCCCGTCGGTGTCCCGTCAGTGTCCCGTCCCGGCGGTGTGAGATCGATTGTGAGATCGATGGTGATATCGATGGTGATATCGATGGTGAGATCGATGGTGAGATCGACAGTGAGATCGATAGGGTGATATCGATATTGATTTCGAACGTAAGATCGATAGTGGTATCGATAGTAAGACCAATTGGTGTCTCGATGGTGTCCCGATGGTGTCCCGTCGGTGTCCCGCGGGGATATCGATAGCGAAAGCGATCGTGAGACCAAGAGTGAGATCGATTGTGAGATCTATTGTGAGATCGATACTGGGGTCGATACGGAGACCGATTAGTGAGATCGCTTGTGAGATCGCTTGTGAGATCGATAGTAAGATCGATCGGTGACATCGACGTGGTGGGATCGATAGTGAGATCGATAGTAAGATCGATTGTGAGATCGATAGTGAGATCGCTTGTGTGAAATTGATTGGAATACCTATACCTAGTGAGATCGATTGTGAGACCGATCAAGTGATACGACGTTGGTTCTTCCCCCACACACAACCTCCTCATCACCCGAAGGGTGGTCGTCTAGGTGTCGAAATCGAGTCGAAGGGAAGCCAGGCCCCTTCCCTTTGATCCCTCCCCCGTCGGGGGGGGGAGGCCCGATGGGGGAGGTCCGATACGCTTCCTCCCCTGGGGGTCCCGGGGCCTCTGAAACTACCAAGACAGGCCAAGAGTGCCCCAAGAGGCCCTCGAGACGGTCCAATAGGGCCGTCCAAAATGCCTTCATGCCCTCCAGACTACCCAGGAGGCCGCCAAGACGCCCCAAGAAACCTCCAAGAGCACTTCCGAGAAGGGCACTGCCAGGCAAAATTCACTGATTTCCCTTTAGTTTGTAAGGACTTGGGTGTTCTCGCCTTTTCCGCTCCCCGCCGCTCCAAGACAGCCCAAGAGGCCCCCAAGATCGCCCCAAGGCGACACGAGAGGCCTCCGAGAGGGCCTGAGCACAGCCCAAGAGGACCCCAGGACACCCCACAGCGCCTCGAAGACGGCCCAAGAGGCCCCCAAAACAGCTTCAACAGCGTGCCCAGACGGGGGACCCGAACGAACATTTCGAGCCCTCGGCCCCGAGAGGCTCCCAGGAGGCCCCAACAGGCTCCCACGATGCCCCAAGAGGCCCACAAGAGGTCACAAGGAAGCCCGAAGAGACCCCACGAGACTCCCAAGAGGCTCTCAACAGGGCCCAAAATCCCTCCCCAGAGGTCCCCGATAGCCTTCCGAAGAAGCATCCCTCTGGCCCACGTCAGCATCGTGGTCGTCGTCGCCGCCGCCGTTGTCGTCGTCGTCCCCCTTCAGGGCCTTCGCAATCAAATGAACTGTGAATGACGGAAGCTCACGTTTTACTCATTTTCTCCCCTCCTCATCACCCTCCTCGCCTCCTCCGCCTCCTCCTCCTCCTCCTCCTCCTCCCTCCTCCTCCTCCTCCTCATCCTCCTCCTCTCCTCCTCCGCCTCTCCCTCCCCCTCCTCCTCCTCCTCCCTCCCTCCTCCCCCTCCCGTCATCCTCCTCCTCACCCCTCCTCCTCCCTCCCCCTCCTCCTACTCCTTCATCACTCCGTCCCTCCTCCCCTCCTCCTCCTGCCTCCCTCTCCCTCCTCCTCCTCCTCTCGTCCGCCCTAATCCCTCCTCCGGTCCTCCATCTTCCTCCTCCCTCCTACCTCCTCCTCTCTCCTCCTCCTCCCTCGCGTCCTCCTCCTCCTTATCCCCCTCCGTCCTCCTCCTCCTCCTCCTCAAACTCATCCTCATTCTCTCCTCCTCCATCGTCCTCCTCATCATCATTTTC